TTTTAGAGTTGTTTTTCTATTTTTAGTATTTTAATATGGTGTAGATTACTGTAAAAATTGCGATTCAGTTGTAACAACGGTTCCGAAGTGAAATTGCTCTATGGAACACTAACGTGGACCTCCAATTTTCTGATTTTTTTTGTTTTTTGTTGTTTTTTTTTGTTTGTTTTTTTGTGTGTAGATCCCATAATTACATGAATCCCCAGGGTCCATATGAACCTTATTTAAGAACCACTGCTTTAGTCCATGAAAGAATTTTTTGTCCATGTTCAGCCAAATGTAGCTTAATTTGATTAGCTTCACTATCGCAATAGCTCTATGGTGTGATATATCATGGAATGTTTCAAAAATAAACTTTCGTGATACAATATTCTTATCACAGACAATGTATTCTGTCAATTTAGATTTATTTCTGTTTCGTTTCCTTGTTGGTCAACAATCACTATCGTCATATCACATAAACCTGTAGTAACGAATTTGACGACCGTGAAAGTTGTCTTATTAAAATCCAATGCTAAATGATCCATGATCAGTGAAATACGTCACGTATCTATCTTTAATCTATCTTCTGCATTTTCAAATACAGCACTACTAGTAGTTCATGCTTAAAAGTAGACCAATTCCTCTGATTCTCCGAGATTTTCTTTAAGATCGGAACTCCAATTCTTTAACAAAAACGGAAGTTCGTATGACAAAAACAGGTCTTAATTTCGTCCGGCTCCATGCACTCATTTAAAAAATACCAGGGTCATAGAACATCACCTCTGACCAATCCGAAAAGTCCCACTGTTTTGCTGATGGCCTGGTTATGCTCTTTTACCGTGGGGCCATCAGCAAGGCGCTTTCATCAACAAAGATGTCTTCGGCCAGTGATGAAACCACCAGCAGTATATACTAACTCTCGATACTACAATGCGATAATTCGTTGAATATTTCTCCCGCGAGTCTATCTTGATTAGTACCTTGTATTATAACCAGAACAAACTCTCAGTAACCCACAACTGATATATGAGAGAACTCTTCTGCCTTTTTTTCTTTTTGCTTCCGTTTTTTTTTTTTTTTTTTTTTTTTAGGAATGGTTATTACCTTCCTAACCACCAGAGCGTCAACACAGATGTGCACAGCCTAACGTGGAGAAAAAATTAATTTTGATTCACCTAGCTATGGACGGTCAAAGGCCATAAGGCTGGTATGTTATTTGTTTGTTCATTGTTCTGTTAAACATTCTCGTCCTTTGGACAGTATGAACAATCATTTGTTTTGAGAATGTGTAAATCATTTTAATATGAATATGTAAGCTGTTTGCTTTATTAAACATTTTGTTTGTGACGGGCGTGTATCTCGTCTTTCACTATTAGTGTATCAATGGCTACACTAATGCTAATATTAGTACTCGGTGTACTGGAAGGCTAAAGCATTATCCTTACTAACACAAAATAGCCGGTAAACTATGGCTGACTGATAAATAATACTAATAGTATAGAGAAATTAATTTAAAAGAACATTTATTAAGTGTTTGCAAAAGCCTCCAGTGAATAACTGTTTTTTCTAGTTTGTGTTCAATCACCAGTTTTCAAAAGCATGCTTTGAACATTTTTGCGCACCTAATAAAAAAATTAAATAATTTAAATTAACTGATCTATTTATTCATACCAATCAAATATTAATCACTTTCTGCAAGCTGATGCGGTTTTTCTTATTTTCCATGTTATTTTTGTTGTATTTTAGTTTATGTTTTTGCGATTCCATATGTGTTTTTAGAGTGTGGTGCTAGTTGCATATATTTTTTTTTTTTTTTTTTTTTGTTAAATATCTTTTTATTTGAGTAGTTTCCCTTGGAAAGAGGTTAAAACAACACCTAAAATCAACTTTTGTGTAGAAGATTAGCAATAAATACCTTTCAAGAACAATGTAAACTCCTAAACAAAAGCTCAGAGCTCATTTCAGACATGGAAAAATTGTCGGAGTTAACTCCTCCTTAATTCCCAAATTGTCACTAGGGGTCAATCTCCCTATATTATAAATACTGGGTGACTTCTCGCCTCGTTCTCTTTTTTTTTTCAATTCTTCATTTTCAACGACTACAATGTAAGCTCTCTTAGAAGATCCGCATCTTCCCATTTGTGGGAGAGGTCATGGTCATTATACACACATACACGTACGTACGAACATTCACCAAAGAACAGACACCAATATTTACACACAAATGTTATTGTCCATTGTAAAATTGTTTTGTTTAATACATATATTTGTTTATATATATATATATATATATATATATATATATCGGTTTTGTTTGTCTTTACATCTTCAGTTGGACTTAACTTGAGTCCGGGAATGTTCTTATAGTTGAACCTTTTAATATTACTCACGTGTTTCTTGTACAACACACAAACACACACGGTCCTCTACAAAATAATCTGATTATCCAACCTACGACCACATCATTATTGTTATTGATTTGCAATTTTTTTAGATTCCTATTTCCAATTCATCAAAATAAGAATCAAGTAATGACTCTTTCTGCAAGCTGATGAGGTTTTACTTATTTTTCATATTTTTGTTGTATTTTAGTTTATGCTTTTGCGATCCCATATGTGTTTTTAGAGTGTGATGCTAGTTGCATATTTTTTGCTAAATATCTTTTTATTTGAGTAGTTTCCCTTGAAAGAGGTTAAAACAACACCTAAAATCAACTTTTCTGTAGAATATAAATAGCAGTAAATACCTTTCAAGAACATTGTAAACTCCTAAACAAAAGATCATTTCAGACATGGGAAAATAATCTGATTATCCAACCTACGACCACATCGTTATTGTTATTGATTTGCATTATTTTTAGATCCCTATCTCCAATTCATCAAATTAGAATGTATATTTATGTATGTATTTATTTATTTTATTTTATTTATTTTTTTAATTTACATTTTAATTTTTTTTAAATCTGGGTTTCTTTGAAACTAGCTCGATGATTTGTCTGTTAACGATTGTCATGATTGTGATTCAATATTTGCTTTTTGAATATTAGTATTAACTAGTGTACAGTCGAGTTAAGTGTTTTCTTTGAATTTAAAAGAAATGTTTATACTATGAAACAGTTTAACGCTTTTCAACTAATTTGTAGGTTTCATTTCTTTTACCTAGATAGGACTGTGAAGAAATCATATTAAGTTAAAACTTAATGCGCTCCAATTCGTACAAGTCTTATTACGTGAGTTTTTAAATGTGAGTGAGTTTTAGATGCGGGTGAGTTTTTAAATATCGGAGGGATACACCTTCAGTCGTGATGAAGGCATTTCATCTAGGAGAAGGCAAACTCGGATTAAAACCAAATGGATAGATAGTGCACGATAGCTATCTTAATGGTCATCTATCTTAGAGAAGGAAACACTTAAAAACAGGTCTCTGAGAACAACGCGAGAGTTACGGCCCAGCAGGACACCAGTCATCACGCAAGGCGCTGCTGCAGGCTCCCGCCGCAGCCGCTACTATCGCCGCGACCTTTGCCTGCAGCACTCAACATGACTGCAACTCTCAACGGCCTTTATCACGTCGAGGCTTAACTAACCACCTCGGCTATTCAGCCTCGACTCGAAAACATCTCAACTTCGACTCGACCCAGCTACAAACCTCCATCGTCGAGGATGCTGCCACCTCAGCGAATACCGACTTGATAACATCTCAACGTCGACACCACCAAACTACAATCCTTCCTCGCCGTCACCTTCGGCAAATCCACCTCCGAAAACAAGCAACTCCAACTTCGCATCCAACTCCTCAACCAAGCGACTCCGCGACGAAGCGACTCCGACTCCACAAACAAGCTACTCCGACTTTGCAAGGAAGCGACTCTGACTCTGCATGCATGCAACCCACTCGACCCAACCAACGTGACGCCAATCCGACGTCACCCCGATTCAACACAACGGTTCTACCAACCAAGTAAACTACCTAACACCGTGACCTCAATCAACCAAACGTGCACCGACCATATTCTAAGACCTCGCCCAGGCCAGCGCAAGAAATAGGTCAACTCTCGGCGCTACACTTACATCAGATCTCTATTCTGACGATAACCCACTGAAACTGACAAGTCGCCTAGCTTCGACATATCTGTACGATATACTACCCTCCACCGTGACTACGATCAACCAACACCAGCACCAACCGTATCCACCAAACCCACACAGAATTAGGTCAACCCCGGGCGCTACCCTTAAACTTGATCGCCAACCTGACGACCGGCCACTGAAACGGACATTCCACACATCATTCAACGTCTCTGTACGACATACCAACAATAAAAGTTGTTCAAATTTTAATAATCGTTATTCTTTTCTATCGCTACAAAACACTTACTATAAGACGAGCGAGTTTGCAAAGTTTGAAGTCATTTTGTTGCGAGTCAGCAAATTTCAGTCGTGTGCGCCAATATGTGTGTGGGAAACACATGCTAAAAACTAAAAAGTAAGGTCTAGTAACTAGATTAGACTAAGTTTTGTGTTTGGCACAAGAACTTGGATATGGTAGGGAATATTTTTTTTTTAAATCGCTTGTTCCTGGATCTTGCCGTTTTATGTTCAAACTTTATTTTCTTTTCCGAAATCACACGCTATTATTTTCATTATTAAATTTTGAATTTTACTATAGATTAAATGTTTTAGCTGTGTAAAGCAAACAAACAAATTCATCGTAATTATATCGATGGATGTAAATGGTAAATTATTTCATGTCAGAACGTCAAAACGACAATGTTGTTTTGTTGTTTAAAAATAAATAAACCTAAAACGGATGATATTTTAAAAGGAACAAAGAATAAGTTTTACACCGGTTGTGTTTGTCATGTTGCTGTTGTAACGGTGGTCGCCATTACGTTTCGCCTTATCGCGCGTTATTATTTCGTTATCATGTCAGCCGGTTTGAAACGAGCACATGGATCTCCTAACTCCTCTCCAGATCCTTGCATAAAGAAAAAGTATAATGTTCCTGGACACTGGAGTATGGGATTATTGGCATCTATGGAAGATCCTAAACTACGGGTAGAAGCCGATGATAAAATAGTAATTATTAAAGATAAATATCCCAAGGTAAAAAATCAATTTCCCAAATAACACCTTTAAAAAAATTTAAAAAAACATTGTAATGTTTAACTTAAAAATGTATGCTGTATTTTTTTTTTTTTTTTTTTTGCACGTTCAAATGTGTTGATTGAATTAATAAATTTTTACACTCGATTTTTTTCTTTTCTTTTTAAACTTTTAAAAATGCCATAAAAATATTTTTTTTTAAATCAGATTCATGTTAAGTGCTAATTATTTGATTTATTATATTATTTAAGATGTAAAAAAAAACTAAAAGTACAACCATGTGCATGCAATCTATTCATAAAACCACCTTTGCGTGTTTATTTTGCTTTCTTGTTACGTGGCCTTCATTTCTGTCGGTCCGCCAAGGACTAACAAAAAACAAAAACAAAAAGCGCATTTAAAATAATTATGCCTTTTTCGAACTTGAATTTTGCTTTTATTTGAAAGATAATAGACTCACACTAATCCAATTTAAAAGAAAAATTAATTCCCATATATAAATAATTTTTTTTTAGGCATTTTTAAAACATTGGTATGTATCACTAGAGCCATTCATCGACCATATGTAAACACAATTTTTTTTTAAAAATCTCGTAAAAATAAATACAATATCTACGTTACCCTATTTTTCGAAGTCATTTTTAGTAAATTTAACTTTTTTTTTTTTTTTTTTTTTTTTTGCTTAAAGCTTAATGAAGACAACGTAGGATCAAAGGTCAAAAATAAAAATAAAAAACCAAAATAATAAAAATTACAAAACCAGACTTGAAAAATACCCTGTCTTGAAAAAGCGCGCGATAAATTAAAAATTAAAGAAATACAGAACACAAGTCGTGCAAGCAATAATCAATAAATTATTTAAAAATAAATTATTTTTTTAATTATAACCAAGTTTAAAAATACAATTTTTTATTCTATTTTATTTTTATGAAAGTTTTTTAGTAGAATTAATAATTTTATGTTATTTTTTATACTGCATTGAAGCAGGTTGTTTTTTTTTTATTTTAGTTACATAGTGTCGTAGAGTTTAGGGGTTAAAATGAACCAAGAAGATTAATATAGGGTGATAATGATGAGGAAACACAGGTAATTTTAACAAAACAAGGAATTTATTCACAAATTTATACACTTGAAGTTCTCAGCATCTCGTTTTGTGAAAATAAATCTGGATTCTTAAGGTACGTAGTTTTAACTTATTGTCATGAAAAGGAAATGTTCATACAACAGATAAAATGATCTAACACAAAATAATATTCAAAAATGTATAAGACAAAGGTATGAGAGCTCATTGCTCACCAAAGGGATAGATAGTTTGAATTACTTAGCTTTCTTGGATTGTTGAGAGAAAATTCTTTGAAGTGTTGTGTGCTAGTTAGAGGCTGATAGTAAAGGTTTTCAGTTCGAAAACAACTTCACATTTGCTCATGAATTCATTGCTTTCCTCAGCTCACTGATCAATTTCTGTGAAGGCAATTTTTTCATTGGTCCAAATAAAATTTCACATAAGTTTGCAAATTTTTTTCCTTTTATCTCAATCCTCCGAATTTGAAAAGAGTTGTTGAAGAGTTATTATTTCACATTTTCTAGAATACTTTTAAATTTAATACATTGTTATTTTTTTAATTATTTTCTGACCTGTTTGATGTCATTAAATATCTAACGGTACCCAATGTGTTCCCCACCCCAATTATTCTGAATTTAAGAGTTATTGAATTATTGGTTATATTACTCTTCTGATTGGGAAAAGTAGTTAAAGGCAATAATTCTGAATTCCTTTTCCTTTTGGAACATCCATAAGAAAAATAATCAAGCAGTTGCTAAAATGAAAAAAAAATTAAAATCTTTTTAAAAAGAATTAACACTCAAAAATGGTATTAAACTTTACATTTTTCACTTCTTTAAACATGTCTTTATTTAATATAAAAAAAAATCTCTTCAACCGAAAAGCAACAGGATGAATTTCAAAATCTCACTGAAACATTACAAGTTTTTAAAAAATGAATATTAAGTGTAGATTTTCCATCTGTTCACACTTGGATGATATTTATGCTGAAATAATATCTTCAGGGATTTTTCTTTATAAAACTAAAAGAAAAAATATTTATAGAACCCAGTCTGTATTGCTATTTACCCATAGCTGGAGTAAGAAGAAGAGGGTTCATACCTTTCCCAAGGGTATTAGCACGTAAGTGAATGTAATTTCAGTCGACTCCATTACATTCATTTATATGCTAATACCCTTGGGAAAGATATGAATCCTCTTCTTCTCCTCCCAGCTGTGGGTAAATAGCAAGACAGACCAGGTTTTGGCAACTGGTCTACCGCAGAAAGAAATGGCAATCTACTGCAGGAAAAAACCTGCCTCGTCAATCATGTATCAAAAGATACATGATCGCCTAAGTGTGTATCACACATGGCACATAACTGACTGAATGCAACAACTCTGGAAGCAAAACCATAGGGCAAACAATTGGGAAACTACTCCACTGTCTTTCCCAGGAAGTATTATGGCAATTTACAGTTTGCAGATATTAAAGAAAAGGAAGCTGTCTTTTGCCCTGAATTATTTTTCATGTTACAATTTGTTCATCATTAACGGCTGCAGGTAGAGAGATCCACTTCTGAACCTAATAAACTACATATGAATGACTCTACAAATGGTACATGTCTTTTTTTTTGCTGTTTGCACAGGCATTTTCCAATTTTCAAAAACAATTTTTCTACATTTTTTCTTTTACTATACAGTACCAAGAATTCACCATTCACACACAAAATTGTATGGAAAAACTCATTGAAATGTAACCTTTCAGAATATGTATACGAGGTCTGTCTGAAAAGTAACAGGACTTATCCATTCTTCAATATAAGAGGCATCATCCACAGTGATTTTCATGCCACACGGCCAGAGGATCAATTATCAAGTGTATAAAGAGATCCTGTGACATTTACTCAGTGCACAAGAAGAAACAAGAGTTGTGGCAGGACAAGTTGTGGCTGCTTCATCATGACAATGCACCTGATCAGAATGCCCTATGCATCCAATAGTTCCTGGCTGAGAACAACATCACCGTACTTGAAAAACCTCCCTATCCACCTGATCCTGCTCTGTGTGATTTTTTTTTTTTTTCTTTTTCCCATGTTCAAGGGGACCCATTTTGAAGACGTTCAGACCATCAATTGGGCTGTAACGACAGAGATGAGGGTCATCCAAGAAGAATACTTCCAACAGTGCATAGAAGCAAGACAAAGAAGGATGGAAAAGGATGCATTAGACTCAAGGGAGATTACTTTGAAGAGGAAACCATGTAGTTTCTTGTTTGGAATTGAAATTAATTGTTTGTGACACTAGACCCATTACTTTTCAGACAGACCTCATATATATCATAAATGTCACTTATGAAAGAAGATTGTTTTCAAATAGCACCTATTGTAACATACTACAAAGTTTTGTTCCAATACAATAGTTTATATGAACTTTAAGAAGCCATTTTGTATACAGGTTTTGATTTTTTTGTAGAAACAGCCATAAATTAAGTGTTTAAATAAATGTTTAATATTATTCCTTGCATCAGATGTATGAGGGTCGACTGAAAAGGTCATAGGCTAACTATGAAGGAATGAATCCTTGAGCTGTGAAATCTTGCATTAATTTCAACTCTTCTTATTAGTAACAGCATTCTTTCTTTTCAGGTATGACATCTGACTGTTCAAAGAAGACTTCAAAAGTAACTAGTTGTGACTTCTCTTGACAGTGGACAATTATTTGGCATTGTCATGTTATCAAGTACCTGCAGAAAAAGGATTTAGCCCCCAAGGATATTCATGATGAGATAGTTGCTGCAGCAAAAGTAGGCAGTTTAAGAGAAGGCAGTCTTCAAGGTCTGAACATCCTGTAACTGCCACCACCAAGGAAAACACTGTTCATGTTCACTATATGGTTATGGATGACAAGCAATTGACTATAAATCAAATAGCCAAATGCTATTAGCATATCCTGTGAGAGAGTTAAGAATATTTTGCACAACGAATTTGGCAGTTTTCTACTTGGTGGGTGCCACATTTCTGATACCTGAACAAAAATGTACCAGGCTGGTCACATCACAGGAAAGTCTGACAGACCCAGCTAGTTTCCTTGAACATTCCTTAACCAAGGATGAGAGTTGGGTTCATCACTTTGAACCAGAGACAGACAATCCATATAGTGGAACCCTGCTTCACCTACTCCAAAGAAAAGACCTAGGTCATTTCATCTGCAGGGAAGGTGATGAGTTCAGGTTTTTGGGATACAAAAAACATTGTGTTTATTGACAATCTTCAAAAGGGCTACACCATCAATGGAAAATACTATGCCAACTTGCTGAGACATTTACAAAAGGCTATCAAGACCAAATGCTCAGGAAAACTGACAAAAGTGGGTCTTCTTTCATCAAGACAATGCTCCATCATACAAGTCCTTATTTTCAATGGCTGCTGTGTGTGACTGTGGCTTTGAACTGGTTGATCACCCTCATTTTCCTGGTTTTGGCCCCATCTTTTGAGATACAAAAGGCATTATGCTTACTATCTTAAGAAAGGCCACGCCATCTATGGAGAGTACTATGCCAACTTACTGAGGTAGTTACAAAAGGCTACCAAAATCAAATGCCCATGAAAATTGACATAAGGGATCTTGTTTCATCAGGACAATGCTCCATCACACAAGTTCTTATTTTCAATGGCTGCTGTGTGTGACTGTTGCTTTGAACTGGTTGATCCACTTTCTTATTTTCTTGGTTTTGGCCCCATTTTTTCAGGTGCAAAATGAATTATGCTTACTATCTTAAGAAGGGCCACTCCATCAATGGGGAGTGCTATGCCAACTTGCTGAGGTAGTTACAAAAGGCTATCAAAATCAAATGCCCATGAAAACTGAGAAAAGTTTCATCATGGCAAGGCTTCATCACAGAAGTCCTTGGTTTCAATGGCTGCTGTGCATGACTGTAACTTTGAACTTGTTGATC